GTCTTATGTATAAGAGATAGATCGCATGCGCTCTCTCTTGGTGTGCTAAAATCGTCAATCGTGGTCATCTACAATGAGGCTTGTTATTAAAATGAACAAGGTTCGTCTATGTTTGGACGCAAGAAAATTAAATCTTGTTACCAAAACAGACTCCTACCCGCAACCTAGCATCGAGGGTATCTTTCCTTGGTAATGCATTTCGGGCTCTGTACGGCCCCCAAACTATGTGTCGCTATGATCATACCACCGGATCTTAGATACTGTGTCCTTGGCTATCTTGACGACATCGTAATTGTCTCAGAAGACAAGTTCGTGGGTTCTTGGGCTTGCAGATTGGTATAGAAGGTTTATAGAGAATTTCTTCTTCCCCTTTTGACAACTAAGAAAAATTCAAAATTCATTAAATCTCTTGTAATCACAGCACCTGCACTGTCAAATCAGATCAGACTGACCACTCTTCATTGTTATGGCTAATGAAACAAACAGATTTAACGGGTAGGTTAGCGAGGTGGGATTTTAAGTTTCAACCCTATAAATTAACTATAAGCCACCGTAAGGGAAAGGACAACATTGTTCTGCATGCATTATCCAGATTACATGTCGAAAAAATAAATTGCTTAGAACAAACAGGGCCCGAGATAGATTGATATTGATTATGAATTGCTAAAAACTATTCACAATTCAAATCCAATGAGTTCAACTCGTTTCTTACAAAATTTGGTATCAAACATGTGTACACTGCACTTTATTCACTCCAAGCAAACGCTTCCGAACGCGTAAATCGGTCAATAATTTCTAGCATCCGTTCATACTTAAAATCCGATCACCGACTTTGGGATGAGAAATTATCCTACATTATTTGTGCTCTTAGAAACGCAATACACCAATCGATCGAATGTTCTCCATACTTTGCAATCTTCGGGTTAAATATGGTCACACACGGAGATACATTTGCTCTTCTCAAAAATATGAATACGTTGGATGAACCCCATGCCATTATTCCTCGCGAAGAACAGTTAAAGTTGATTCGAAACGCACTAAAAGTTAACATCGAAATGTCTCACAATGGCAATAAGGAAAGATATAACTTACGTAGTCGACCAATAAACTATACTGTAGGTCAACTGACATATCGTCGTAATTTCGCGCAAAGTACCGCTGAGAAGAAATTCAACGCGAAATTAGCACCCATATTTTTGCCAGCAAAAATTAAGAAAAAAGGAGGTAAGGTGTACTATGAGTTGGAAGATCTTGATGGTAAATTCATAGGAACTTTCCACGCCATGGATTTACGTCCATAATTTATTGCCTTATTCCGAAGAATTCCAAAAAATGAATTTTACTCGGTTTTGTGGTAAATTATGGTCACGCAATGATATACCCATAATAAAATAAATTCCTCTTTAAATGTTTGCTGGGATAAATTCTCAACTAGTTCGTATGCAATACCACCCAATTGAGCCCCAAAGGTCGGATAACATCAATTTACGAATCTACGCAATAACCTTGAAATAGTTTAGGGGTATGCACGCTGGCTTTATAGAACTAAGGACTCGAGTTCGAATACTATGCAGACCGATTTTTAAATTTTATTTCTTTCTTATTTTATATTAAATTTTCATTATTTTTAAACACAATCATCATTTTTGTCTCGAATTTTAATGAAATATCACGTTGAACGGATTTTGAATTCTTATAACCTAAGTTTTTGTGTCTTGGTTGTTTGGCTGGAAAGCAAAAAGAAACACATACCAAGATTACAAGACATACGTAGATTTATTACCATGGTATATGTGAGAAGTGGAGTTCCAGTTATTTTTCATGAGTTTCGTTAAGCTCTCGCAAATGTAAGTTTCCTAAGTGGTGAAAACGGAGGACTGTTAGATATTCGCTCATTTAGAAGTAATAGATTTTTGTCATAGTTCTTTTCCTTGTCTGACACTCTGAAGAAAAAACGCATAACAGGGAGCAAAAATTTGTGTACAAATGAATAGTGGATTAATTTAAGCATCACAGTTTGCAGAGTCAACGAGCGCTCGTATGTTTTCTGCTGTCGTAACAATTATGTTATTATTGTTAGGCTTCTTGTTCACAGGAAATTGGCTAAATAAATTTGTTAAGTGTTCAACTTCCTGGTCTAAATCTCGATTATTCATTAACAAAAAACCCGAGCAGAAGCAATGCAACCGCAAGGACAAGAATGTTGTTTTATAGAGATATGCCAACATGTATTTCACCGCGCTTCCGTTGAACAAGCTTTAACAAAGTAGTCTGGATGTCAATAATGTAAAACTAAAGTCGAATTGGTCAATTTAAAAAATATCTTATTATAAGCGTGGAATCAATGGAAATGTCCACCCAGACTGGGAAGGTTAAGAAAAATCGTCTTGCCCACCGAGTCGGATAGACCTCCCAGTTCTGAGGAAAGTTCGTCATCCCTACGGCCAGTTCGAGTGACTTTTATAATTCAGAATTGGAATATTAATTTTGATGGCTCTGGTAATCATTGTTTAGGGTCAACATTTTGACAAAGAAGCACCCCAACAATAATTTTGCACATATATGCAGCAATCTGCCAATTCTGTTATAAGGTAAAGCCAGAGAATTGTGCTGGCGATACCACAAGAGCGTCGAATCTATAAAGTTGTTAAAATTTTGTGAAGCTTTACGCTCTCAATTTAATTATTTGAGGTCCAATTTTGATCTAATGGAATCTATTAGAGGCCGAGAAATGAAGGCAGGAGAGTCTTCAATTTGCACCATAGCTGATCAGCTTAAAAACCTATTCCTGAAGAGGAGATGGCAGAGATTTTAATTAGAAACCTTAGACCTGACATAAGGCAGGAATTGTTGTATGTCTCTATTTTACACTTGTTCATTTGAGCAAACTTGTGCAGATGATGTAACATTTACTGAATGACGATGCGTTCAGAAAGCACTTGCCTCAGGTCATTTCTGGGATGATTTCCTCCAGGATCGCTCCGTTTTTTGTTACGGCTGTGGGAGTAAAAATGTTTACAAACCCCAGTGCGTAAGATATTCCAATAAAAAATTATCCGTGGCCCCAAACAACTACCAGGCTCAACTTCAGCCTCCGAGTGTCCTTTAGCCATAGAAGAACGCAACTTTTCCAATGAAATTCCCCAAAAAACCCCAACAATGACCATTCTCCAACCTGAATCCAAAACAACAAATGAGGCAAAAAATTATTATATCCATTCCACCCATATCATGAGACGTATAAAGCATATATGGAAAAACGCAATCAGATTTTCTCTGTTGCTGAGCTCTCCTTAGAAAAGGCCAATCCACCAAAAAGATCCACCCGCCGATAAAGGCTTCATTATAAAAGACTAAATATAGCTTCTAAATATATTATTTCTACTATTGTAAATAATCCAATAGACCAGAGATTTTACACCAAAGTCAACTTCTTCGATTTAAGTGAATACGCCTTGCTAGATACCGTCGCCAATATTTCTTGTATCGGATCGGATTTAGCAAGCATAGATTTTTCAAACTATCCGGAACTTATTCCAAGGAAAACCAGAGTTAAGACCGCTAATGGTTCAATAAAGAGGACCGTAGGATCTTTGGAAGTAGAACTACATTTCCACGGTGAAAGCCATAAATTAACGCTTTGGATCATTCCTTCCATCACTCAACGGTTGATTCTCGGCTTAGATTTTTGGAAAGCATTTTCTTTGGCGCCGGAAATTTTCGATAGCTCAATCATTTCCAATCGTTCTAATTCTGCCAGTCTTCGCTCTGTAATATCAGCAGTAGATTCCCCTGGTTGCCCATCCCACCCTAATATATTTTCTTCTGATCAAGATTTAAAATATCCTTTAAGCTATAGTCAACAAATCCAGTTAAATGCCATAATTAAACTTTTCCCCAGCTGTGCCAAGCAAGGCTTAGGGAAAACCTCATATTTAAAACATCACATTGACATAGATGACGCTAAGCCAGTAAAACAGCGCTTCTATCCTTTATCACCGGCTGTAAAGAGTCTTATGTATAAGAGATAGATCGCATGCGCTCTCTCTTGGTGTGCTAAAATCGTCAATCGTGGTCATCTACAATGAGGCTTGTTATTAAAATGAACAAGGTTCGTCTATGTTTGGACGCAAGAAAATTAAATCTTGTTACCAAAACAGACTCCTACCCGCAACCTAGCATCGAGGGTATCTTTCTTTGGTAATGCATTTCGGGCTCTGTACGGCCCCCAAACTATGTGTCGCTATGATCATACCACCGGATCTTAGATACTGTGTCTTTGGCTATCTTGACGACATCGTAATTGTCTCAGAAGACAAGTTCGTGGGTTCTTGGGCTTGCAGATTGGTATAGAAGGTTTATAGAGAATTTCTTCTTCCCCTTTTGACAACTAAGAAAAAATTCAAAATTCATTAAATCTCTTCTAATCACAGCACCTGCACTGTCAAATCAGATCAGACTGACCACTCTTCATTGTTATGGCTAATGAAACAAACAGATTTAACGGGTAGGTTAGCAAGGTGGGATTTTAAGTTTCAACCCTATAAATTAACTATAAGCCACCGTAAGGGAAAGGACAACATTGTTCCGCATGCATTATCCAGATTACATGTCGAAAAAATAATTTGCTTAGAACAAACAGGGCCCGAGATAGATTTAAATTCTCCACATTTCGATGATATTGATTATGAATTGCTAAAAACTATTCACAATTCAAATCCAATGAGTTCAACTCGTTTCTTACAAAATTTGGTATCAAACATGTGTACACTGCACTTTATTCACTCCAAGCAAACGCTTCCGAACGCGTAAATCGGTCAATAATTTCTAGCATCCGTTCATACTTAAAATCCGATCACCGACTTTGGGATGAGAAATTATCCTACATTATTTGTGCTCTTAGGAACGCAATACACCAATCGATCGAATGATCTCCATACTTTGCAATCTTCGGGTTAAATATGGTCACACACGGAGATACATTTGCTCTTCTCAAAAATATGAATACGTTGGATGAACCCCATGCCATTATTCCTCGCGAAGAACAGTTAAAGTTGATTCGAAACGCACTTAAAGTTAACATCGAAATGTCTCACAATGGCAATAAGGAAAGATATAACTTACGTAGTCGATCAATAAACTATACTGTAGGTCAACTGACATATCGTCGTAATTTCGCGCAAAGTACCACTGAGAAGAAATTCAACGCGAAATTAGCACCCATATTTTTGCCAGCAAAAATTAAGAAAAAAGTAGGTAAGGTGTACTATGAGTTGGAAGATCTTGATGGTAAATTCATAGGAACTTTCCACGCCATGGATTTACGTCCATAATTTATTGCCTTATTCCGAAGGATTCCAAAGAATGAATTTTACTCGGTTTTGTGGTAAATTATGGTCACGCAATGATATACCCATAATAAAATAAATTCCTCTTTAAATGTTTGCTGGGATAAATTCTCAACTATACCACCCAATTGAGCCCCAAAGGTCGGATAACATCAATTTACGAATCTACGCAATAACCTTGAAATAGTTTAGGGGTATGCACGCTTGCTTTATAGAACTAAGGACTCGAGTTCGAATACTATGCAGACCGATTTTTAAATTTTATTTCTTTCTTATTTTATATTAAATTTTCATTATTTTTAAACACAATCATCATTTTTGTCTCGAATTTTAATGAAATATCACGTTGAACGGATTTTGAATTCTTATAACCTAAGTTTTTGTGTCTTGGTTGTTTGGCTGGAAAGCAAAAAGAAACACATACCAAGATTACAAGACATACGTAGATTTATTACCATGGTATATGTGAGAAGTGGAGTTCCAGTTATTTTTCATGAGTTTCGTTAAGCTCTCGCAAATGTAAGTTTCCTTAGTGGTGAAAACGGAGGACTGTTAGATATTCGCTCATTTAGAAGTAATAGATTTTTGTCATAGTTCTTTTCCTTGTCTGACACTCTGAAGAAAAAACGCATAACAGGGAGCAATAATTTGTGTACAAATGAATAGTGGATTAATTTAAGCATCACAGTTTGCAGAGTCAACGAGCACTCGTATGTTTTCTGCTGTCGTAACAATTATGTTATTATTGTTAGGCTTCTTGTTCACAGGAAATTGGCTAAATAAATTTGTTAAGTGTTCAACTTCCTGGTCTAAATCTCGATTATTCATTAACAAAAAACCCGAGCAGAAGCATTTCAACCACAAGGACAAGAATGTTGTTTTATAGAGATATGCCAACATGTATTTCACCGCGCTTCCGTTGAACAAGCTTTAACAAAGTAGTCTGGATGTCAATAATGTAAAACTACAGTCGAATTGGTCAATTTAAAAAATATCTTATTATAAGCGTGGAATCAATGGAAATGTCCACCCAGACTGGGAAGGTTAAGAAAAATCGTCTTGCCCACCGAGGCAAAAGTCGCAGTGTAGTGATGAATCGCCCAATTACCCGGGACTTGAGCCGAAATTTATTTTCCGAAAACTTAAATGTCAGTAATGACTTTTAAGTGCCTGCAAATCCTGCTAATGATTTAGTGGTTGATTCCGCCACACAAAACTTTACAATCCCGAGCAATAATATTTCGAACATTTCAACTTCGATGCAGAACCAAACTATAAGGAACACTAGATTACAAAATCAAACGGAAAAAGACTATTCAAGAAATGATTGAAAACAATATTGTCAAGATTTTGGAAAGTCTGAATATAGGGACATTGATTTCAAATCAAAATAATCAGACTCTTTCAAACAACAATCCCCAAAATAAGAACACACACTTAACTATGAATCTTCCATTGAATTATACGACTGAAAATCTAAGCTATTCGGATAGACCTCCCAGTTCTGAGGAAAGTTCGTCATCCCTACGGCCAGATCGAGTGACTTTTATAATTCAGAATTGGAATATTAATTTTGATGGCTCTGGTAATCATTGTTTAGGGTCAACATTTTGACAAAGAAGCACCCCAACAATAATTTTGCACATATATGCAGCAATCTGCCAATTCTGTTATAAGGTAAAGCCAGAGAATTGTGCTGGCGATACCACAAGAGCGTCGAATCTATAAAGTTGTTAAAATTTTGTGAAGCTTTACGCTCTCAATTTAATTATTTGAGGTCCAATTTTGATCTAATGGAATCTATTAGAGGCCGAGAAATGAAGGCAGGAGAGTCTTCAATTTGCACCATAGCTGATCAGCTTAAAATCCTATTCCTGAAGAGGAGATGGCAGAGATTTTAATTAGAAACCTTAGACCTGACATAAGGCAGGAATTTTTGTATGTCCCTATTTTACAATTGGTCATTTGAGCAAACTTCTGCAGATGAGGGAAAATTTACTGAATCACGATGCGTTCAGAAAGCACTTGCCTCAGGTCATTTCTGGGATGATTGCCTCCAGGATCGCTCCGTTTTTTGTTACATCTGTGGGAGTAAAAATGTTTACAAACCCCTGTGCGTAAGATATTCCAATAAAAAACTATCCGTGGCCCCAAACAACTACCAGGCTCAACTCCAGCCTCCGAGTGTCCTTTAGCCATAGAAGAATCCAACCCTTCCAATGAAATCCCCAAAAAGCCCCAACAATGACCATTCTCCAACCTGATTTTCCAAACACCAAATTAGGCAAAAAATTATTATATCCATTTCGCCCATATCATGAGAGGTATAAAGCATATATGGAGTTTGGATGAAGTTAAATGGCTTGGTAAACCTGTAAGGCTTGTTTCATTTTATAGATCCCAAAAAATGCCCAACCAATTCATTCCTTTCCTTTGTAGACGAAACGTTGAACAACTTTGGGAGATATCCATGTAGACGATAATGCATCAAATGCCATTTCAAGCTTTCTTGCAACATACGATTTTAAAAGTTGTCATTCTTTGGTGACAAGACCCGTAAGTGGTATAAGCATTCATCACATTTACTCAAATTTTGAAGGTATTTCCGATATAGTCTCTGTAGAGTGTGAATTGACTGACCATAACATCGTTTACTTTTGTGTAGCTAATACCATTGTGGATCATGCCAGCAATAATAATATTTACTCTTTTATTTATCAAGATAATTTGATACGATGCATTGAACGAGATTTACCTATGTTTTGTATTACTGGAAATCCATCGGTTGATATGGCCAACTTAATAACCACAATTCAGAAATGTTTGGAAGAATCTACAACTATTAGAACCTGCAACCGATCAGGAAAATATAATATTACTCCTTGGGTAAGCGCGAATTTGAGAAAATTAATAGAATTTAAGGAAAAGTTATTAAAATCCAGACGTAAAAATAAAGGCGGTTATTTAATAGAAAAACAGCTTAAGTCTATAAGTAAAATTATAAAGAGATCTTGCAGAGAATCAAGAAGTAATTATTACAGTTATAACCTTGAAAGCCTACGTAGCGAACCAACCAAATGCTGGAAGCTTTTAAACAAAAATCTTGGCAGGTCAAAAGAAACGAAGGACATTAACATCAGAAGAGATGACGGTACCATGATTTCTGATGATTTTGAAAAGGTCAATACTTTTAACCAATATTTTTTGGATTCTGTGGAAGAATTAAAAACACGCATTGCTCAGAATGGTAGTGATTACTGGAACTCAATGAGAACTGTAAATTGGATGAATATACATATTAACTTCAATTATACAACCATACATGAAGTGAAACATGTAATTCTTCAGTTATCAAAGAAAAGTGGTTCAGGTTACGATAATACCCATTAGCTCCATATCTTGTGACCATTTTCAATTGTATGCTAGACAAGGGTGTGTACCCTGATGCTCTAAAAATACATAAGATTATACCGATTCCTAAAGAACCAAATGTAAGTTGTATCAACAAGTTCAGGCCAATAGCTGTTTTATCAGTTTTTACAAAGGTCTTTGAAAATATATTGTGTAAACAGATGACAGACTATCTTGAGAACAATAACGTACTTTGTGATTTTCAGTATGGATTTAGGAAGGGGTGTGGAACAGAAGAAGCTACTGTTAATTTTATTGAAACTGTATGCAATGGATTAGATGATGGTGCAAAAGGCGTATTTGCAATATTCTATGACTTCTCAAAGGCTTTTGACCTTGTGGACCATGGAATTTTGTTAGAAAAATTAAGATTTTGTGGCTTTAGACAAAATGCTTTACTAATATTAAAAAGCAACTTGGAGAATAGGAAACAAATTGTTGAAATTAATGGCAAAAAAAGCTCAGAAGCATGCGTTGCACATGGCGTACCACAATGAAGTGTCCTTGGACCGTTACTTTTTAAGTTGTATATCAATGACATTGCAAACTTGGGCTTATCTGGGAAAATGTTTTTGTATGCGGATGACATTTGCCTAATTTACCCTTATAAACATGAAACAGTTGTAAAGATATATATGAAGCGTGATGCTGCTTTAATTAATGAGTATGCACAAATCAATAAACTTTATTTAAACGCAAATAAAACGAATATAATACGTTTTAAACCGCATGTTGACAACAATGGTGTATTCAGTATTAATGTTAATGGTACTCAAGTTAGAGAGGTATATTCTGTAAAATATCTAGGCCTATATTTGCAAAGTAATTTATCATTGGATTACCACATTCAACGTGTGAAGAAGAAAGTGTCAGGAGCTTTGGGTCTTTTGTATAAGTTTAAAAATAAGTTTAATTATGAAACAAAGTTATTGATTTACCAATCATTGATACATAGTCATCTAAACTATTTAACATTATTATATGGTTTCCGAAAAAGTGTTGAATTTAATTCGCTGTCCAGATTGCAAAATAAGACTTTAAAAATTGTGGCTATGTTTTATTTTCAAATTGCGGTTATTACTGTATATGTATAAATTTATTCATAACATGGGTCATCACACTATTAAATTTTTGGTGAATCAAAACGTTTTTAACACAAGAAACAGCACAAATCTGAGGGTAGCTCGGTGTAGAATTGAGCTAACTAAACAAAAAATTTCGTATATAGGATGTTCAGAGTTCAATAAACTACCTAATGAACTGAAGAACCTTCGGAGAATATCATTATTTAAAAGAGAAATTAAAAAATATATTTATAATGAAATAGACAATATTTTTATTTAACTTCTATGATAAATGATCAATATTGTATTATTTCACTTTAAGTATAACTTTTGTATAAATTTGTCAACTTTAAGCCTCTATAATGTCTTTATGATGCTGAGGCGTAGATTGAAATGTGTTTATAAATATGTACTTATAATATATCTATTAAGAATAAATTTAAGTACTGAATTGTATAAAGTTTTAAATAAATAAAAAACCCAATCAGATTTTCTCTGTTGCTGAGCTCT